CACTTATGTAATTCCACAAAATGATTACGTTGTAAGTAACTCGCAGTAGTAAAACATCAAAACAAACCAAAACACAGTTGTGTGATCGTGGCCAGGCGTTTGCGGGACATCATGTAACTGAGCGGGAGCCAATTTGCCCGTGGCCCGGTAACATGGTGCGCCATTTGCGCCTCCGCCCTGAGGGTCGGCACAGGCAGCCGCGAGATGATGCGGAGAGCGTCGCACCAGTAACGGGCAGTGGGCCACAGTGGATCCTGCAGCTGGAGCTTGGCATGCCCGTTCCTTCGCTTGCCTCGTTCGAATACGGAGCAGAAAGGGGCACCCCTTCTTGTTCTAGCAGACGACCAGATGGGCTGGGGGGCATGGCTCCCCCTGCACTGCTCCCCTGCGCGCTTTCCCTGCAGCAGGCACATTTCCCCCCAGCCTGGCTCCACCACCGGAAGAGAATTGGCCGCGGAGAGAAGTGCCTGGAATGCCCAAGCCATCCCCATTCCCTCTGCTCTCCTCCTGAATGTGGCAGATGGGGAAAAGATGGGCGGCTGCCCCAGCCGGGCCCGATTTGTTCTGTGTGGCTTGTCTAAAACGGGCCTTTGAAATAACACGCGCATCCTACAGTTACCGCTGTCTCTTGATTAACGGGCCTCAGCCCGCTGCCCTGTGCCTCTGTTCCATGCCAGCTCCGTCGAGGCAAACGGGTGCCACGCATCAGCCGTGGCGCAGGTTCGTGTGCCTGAGGATCGCTGCCTGCGGCTCCCAGAATCCGCCGGCCATGCCAGCACCCCTCCATCCTTCGTGGCACCGCCGCCTCTCCTGTGGGCTGCCTTTCGGCATTCCCAGTCTTGTCCTGTGCTTGCGCAACCCTCTGGGCCATGCTTCCCTGCTCTCTGCCCCTTGCCTCCGAGGCCCGCTTCCCAGGGCAGCCCGGAGATCCCACGGGGTCTGTTCTCTGGGCCAGGGAGAGAGGACCGGCCGTTGGATTTGCCTTTCCGAGGCTGAAAGGGCTCGGCCAAGCGGCTTCCTCTGTGCAGTCCTTGCACCTGAGGATTCCGCCAGTGCCAGCAAGGGATGCCAAGCCTTTCGTTTCCGTCTGTCCGTTCTGGTTGCCAGAAATACCACCAGGCGAGGCACAAGCAGAGCGTGAGGACCTGAGTTCCGTCGGCTCAGAGACAGAGCCGCTCGTACAGCAGACGGCAAACAGCTGGGGATACTTTCCCACACAGTCTGCCTGCTCCACTGATGGTTGCCTGAGTGCAGCACAGCTGACCGGGTCACTGCTGGACGGCCTGGAATATTTGACAGTATTTGATCAACACGCTTCCCACATTTTTGCGAAATGTATCCAAGGTGGCTAATAAAAATAGCTTAAAAGAATAGAAGTGTCATGCCGAGAGGACCAAAACGTCTGATAAAACAGCTGCTACGTAAGCTGTTTATAGGCTGCCGCCTCAGAATTCTCAAGCAACTAAACCCGGGTTGCGTCATTCCCAGAGTAGCCAGAGCGGCCACTGGGTGAGCGTCGATAGAGCAGCAGTGCCAGTGTCCAGGAAAAGGCCTCGCTCGTGGTCTCTCCTCCCTGGCCTTCAGGGAGCCCTCAACAAGGAAGCACCTTCGTACGCCTCGCTGCGCGTAAGCTCCCTCCAGGGCCGGGGTACTCCGGCCCCTCCCTCAGCTGACAACGGCTCTGGCTTCCCGTGGACCCGCAGCTCCCACTTCAGGCTTTCTGTCACTGGCCCGGATTGTCCGCAGGCTGATGGGTTGTGCAGGCGGCTCGAGCGACGGGCCCTTAACTGTGAACTGCCAATTCGAGTCGGAGTTCATCTGTGGAAGCTGCTCCCCTCCCCTGCGAGTGTAATGTTTATTCCATGTCTTGTGATTCGTATTTCCATTAGAAGGACTCTTGTCCTTAGGTTTATAACACGTGCTGTGCAGCTCTGGATGAGAGATGACTGTTGGTTGGCTGCCACTTAGAATCCAAAGCGGCTTTGTTTTTTCAAGTCCAGGGGCAATGGCAGGCATCTTGGATATTGTAAGATGAGGCTTTTTGTACTTTATGCTAGATAATAAGCACTGGATTCCTCCACATCAGATGGCCAGGTCCAGGATTTGGTCCTTTTCTCGGCGAGCGCCAAACAAGAAAGTGGGTCGGGGCTTGGCGTTGGGGTGCTGAGGGAGAACACAGGAGAGCCACCGGCTGGCTCATCCCGGACCCTTGTGGTGTTAAATGGGGCATGTCACGGATAAGAGACTCTGCAGAGGCTGGACATGGAATCAGTGGAATGCGCCTGCGGGGAGTTTCTGGCGCTCGGCGTGAGGTGGGAAGTGTCTCCATCCGGGAGCTTGAGGCCTGAAGGTGCAGAGAAGACCCTCCGTGGCAGGAACAGGGCTCTGCTTGAGGAGCTGAGCACCGCTTTGCATGCCGAGTAGGCTGTCCGGACGCGCCTGGATGGCGGCTCCCTTCAGCCCCAGCCAGCACGGCTGAGACACAGTGGCACGGCCACCCAACGTTCGGAGAGCCCCTCACTCCCCATCCCCGAGGCAGCTTGCAGCCAGCGCTGCCTTCCCTTCCAGAGGCGATTTCCTCCCACTCGGGCCAGGCTTTCCGGGGGCCTGTCAGGTGGGATTCAGGCCACCCCGACTTGTGAAGGTGCAGCCAGGTGCCTGCTTGGCAGTCCAGGTGAGGCCAGGCAATGGGGTCTCCGCTTTAGCATGTTTGCCCTTGGGGCGAGATTGGCCTCCTTCAGCCTGACAGCCTCTGCAGGTATTGGAGGTCAGCGCCCATCCTCCTCATGCTGGCATGGGAAGGGGGCAGTGCACTCCAGCACAGTTGGGGGACGCTGGCCTGGAGGGGGTTCACAGGAGCCTCCATTTCAACTGCTGCCCAAGCTCCACGCACAGCTTCTCAGCTGGGGAAGAGCCGAAGCTCAGCAGTCAGAGTGCCACTCGAGGGGGCCCTTCTGAGGCTGCTCCTGCAAATAAGGTGGGCGGTTTCTCCCTCTTGCCCGAAACGCTGTGTTTAAGACTGCAGCAAGGGTTGCAGGGAAACCTCTGCTAATATTTCAGCATCACAGGGCCGGGACTCTCCACCTCCAACCTTCTGCTGGGTGCCTCCTGTCCTCTCGGGAAAGGCGCTGCGCCGATCGCTCCCCGCCTTCCCCACCCCAGCGGGTGCTGGGGTGATCCCGCATCTCTGCGAGGCAGCGCAGGCCGCTGGAATGGTGCTCGCTCCACCAGCCGCCTTCTCCTGTGGGACATCTGGCTGCCTGACGTCGCTTGGCTGTGGGAGGGCTACCTGAGGGTGCCGTGCCAAGAGCGCCTACCTGGCAGGGCAGAGCCGCCTCATGCTGCTAAGAGCTTTCTCCTGCAGATGTGGGAAAGGCAGAAAGCACATTTCATTGTGTTGGTTGTGTTGCAAAGTGATCTGAGCTTTTCCTCCTTCTCTTGGTTTAAGCTCCAGGAGATAACAAACTCCCCGTTGCCGCCTCTTTCCCAGTTGGTTCAGGGGCACCAGGAATAGCCCGGTTCTGAAGAGGGGCCCCCACTTCTCTTGCCTCTGTGACCCAGAAGCTGACCCCCAGGTGGCCCTGAACCAGGTGTTTGCATCTGTGGAGGGAGGCGTGGCGTGAAAGCCAGGGGCACAGGTGTGACACAGGCTTCTCCCAGCCCTGCTGGCTCCTCTTCATCAAAACCCCTCCTGGTGGTGGGGGATTGCCAAGGGAGCAAACGAGAGGGGGCGCCCCGTGTCTGAACAGGCCCGGGGAGGCTCGGCAGCTGCTCCCCGGCAGCATCCACCACTTGGCCTGGCGGAGCAGAGGCTTGCGGAGAGTCACCTGCATGCTGTCTGGGCGGGAAGCTGGGGGCAAAGCCCCTCAGCACTGGGCCGCTCCTTCAGGAGTGTGGGAAATGCACCACCCACAGAGAGGGGCTGGCGGGGGGCACGCTCCGGGCCAGTCTGGCACACGTGCAAGGAAAGCGGCCAGGGAGGGGGAGGCAGGGAAGCTGTGCGGATTATAACTAACGTTTAGGGGAAGGCTCATAACTCTGTCAAAACATCTCGGAAGGGGTAAGCTGAGCCGCACGGGCTGCAGAATCTCGTCTCTCGCACGCCTCCCTCATTCCTTACGTGAGGCAGCTTTGCGTTGCTGAAAAGAAAATCAGTGTGACGCTTCTAACAGTTCTGTACTCCTAAGCGAGCTGCTTCAGGAGCTTGCCGGTGCTGGCTGTGCGTTTCACAATGTGCATCGCAACTGTTGTGGTGACCGCCGATGCTCCAGAGGAAGGGGCAGCAGTGTGAGATGGTCTCCCCTGGGGCACTGGGCTCTTGCACGGTTCTCACATTTCCGGGGGTGGGGGGGCTTGCAGTAGGATGTCCCGGTTGGTATCCAGAGCAGAGGAGGACCGGGCAAGCTGCCCGAGCTGCGGCCGGCCACTCCAGAGGATCCCCACTGGGAATCCGTGGGCCTACTCAGCTTTGCTGGGAAAACAGTGATGTTCTTTGCCTCCCCCCTTAGGGGTTAGACCCTTCCTGACCTCGTCCAAGAGGCGGAAAGGGCCACTCCCGCTCTGCATTGGCCACCGTGCCCCTAGGCTGCTCAGGCCAGTTGTGAGGCTGTGTGGCCACCCCGAGACACCGGCACTTTCTGTCTGAAAATAACAGCTCATTTGCATATTTACTGGGATTCCGCCAAGGGAATAAACCCATTAGTTTTAGTGGGCATTTGAATGACTGGACACGCTGAGGCTGAGGGTTAGGAGTTTGGTTTATTTTTCTTTGCTATTATTTGTCCTTAGTGGTTTTGTTGCTTTGTTTGCGGCTGTCTGCTTTTAGATAATGGGAAAGCATTTTGCAGCAGTTCTGGATAAATATCCTGTGAAGTGTCTCGGTCACACAAAAAGTTACTCAGTGGAAGCAAATTTCTGCTCCACAGCCTCTCTTTGCATTTAGGGCCTGAAATTATTTTTTTTCTCAGTGGTAACCTCTGTGCTTGTCCCTCCTTTTGCAGAAAAAATAATTAATGGCCAAGACTACGAAGTCATGATGCAGATTGACTGCGAAGTGATGGACACCAGAATCTTGCACATCAAAAGCTCCACCGTCCCGCCCTACCTCCGGGATCCCCCGGGGAACCAGACCACTTCCTTCTACGGCGCCCCTCCGGCTGTCCCAGACGCGGCTCCTGCCATGCGGACGATCACGGAGTCGCCTCAGTAGGCTCCTCGGTCGGACTTAGCGCCGTCTCCCGGAAGGGCAGTGTGGTCTGGCTGCACTCTTCGGGGTTTGCCACGGCAGGGTCCAGCCTCATGCCAGAGCTCGCTGGATCACCGGATCCTGGATCTTCCTTAGGCGGAGCGTCATTCTGGCTGCCCTCAGTCCCAAGGGGAAAGGAACCTGCCCCTCCCCCCTGCCTCTGCTGCCCTGCACCAGTTTTCCTGCTTCGTTAGTGGCCGTTGTTCCACCATCGGTGCAGAGTGCTTGAAACCGGGGTTTCCCGGCGTGCTTGTGGCGGATTCCGTACCAGGATCTTCTGTCACACGCTTGGGCCGCCAGCCGTCAGGGCGTGCCCTGCGGCTGCTGCCCAGGCCATGCACTTTTGGCGATGGGTTTTTTGTTTGGGTGGCGTTGCCTGTCTCCATCCTTCAGAGGCACAACGCTGCTGCTGGGAAGGCGTGGCTCTTTCCCTGGCTGGTGGGGAGCTGCGGGTCTGAGTGGTGGTGTCCAGAATGTGGCCGGGCCCATCTGGTGGGGGGGGCCTGTTGACGGGGGCGAGCGATCGGGAAGGGGCTGGTGCAGAAACGCGCCTGTGCCCGGCTGCTTGGGCTCAGGTGGCGCGTGGCAGCGTCAGCGGGATGTGCTGGTCTCTCGCTGGCCCCCCGGGAGGCCTGTCCTTGCACGCCGAGCGCTCCCCGCGTCGCCAGCCTTGTGTAAGCTGTTGCGGGGGCCAGAGTGGGAGCGGCAGCCCCGTCCCTTCCCCGGCACCTGTTGTCAGTGAGCAGAGGCGGTGTTTGGGTTGGGAGCTCCCGCAGCATCCTGTGGCAGTTGGGAAAGCGGCTCACGGTCGGAACAGACTGTCTGGAGAAGCTCAGGAAAGGATCTGAGCCGCGGCCAGGAGGTTTACGCAGGGAGCCCCGGCAACGACCCTCTGGGGCGTCCAGGACTGCCTAGGCAGCCTGGAGAGCGCGAGCGGGTGCCCCTGCGCCAGGCAGAAGGGCCTGTGGAGGCTGGAGCCCCTCTGCCTCGCCCCCTTCGCCCATCGCACCGGAGCTTTTGGGCACGTGGAGCACCGTGCTGGGTGCGCAGGGTGTGCCCATCTCGGGGTGTGCTCGAAGGGGCAGTTAGGGAGAAGGGGGAGCATGCCGTTTGCTGCGGGGGAGCAGGCACAGGCCGCCCCTCTGCCCCCATTCCACCCCCCCCCCACGCCTGCTGCCTCTACCCATCAGTTTAAAAAAAAGATTTAAGAATGAAATGCTGCTCCACAGCGGCCACCGGGCTCTGAGAGGGCCCAGTTTGGCTTGCAGACAACTCTAATTTTAGTACTACTGATTGAGCACCAAAGCAGATACTGGTTTTGAGAAGCAGTCCATCCCCTGCTGGAGGGTGGCAGGGCCGGAAATGGCCCAGGCGTCCGGCACTGGCCCGTGCCTTGCCTGCCGCAGCCGGTGGGAGGTGCTTGCAGAGGGACGCGAGATGGACGCTCCGTGCGGCAAGGGCTGTGGCCTGGTTGCGTTGTAGATGTTCGGAGGACCAGGGCAGGGGATGTCAGGTGACGCCTGATGTGTGTCGAGGCGGTGAATGTCAGAGCGGATGCCGCTTGCCGTAAGAAGGAAAGCGTGGGAAAGGCGCTCTCCCTGGGCGACGTAGTTCCTGAGCGGGTGCAGGGGAGTAAGGCAGGTGCAAAACCGCTCCTGCCTCGCTGCGGGAAGACCACACCCCTTGCCCTGTGCCCGGCACAGCTGTTCCCGAGCCACAGCGGCTCGCCTCCTTCAGCCCCCCCCCCCCCGCTGCCGTCCTTTAAAATGCAGCCACGTAAGCAAGTCTCTCAGCAGTGCCTAAAGGCCAGCCGTGGGGGTGACTTGTGGAACGGTCCGGGGTTGCTCCAAAAGGGGGGCGCCAGAGCCTAAAAGGCCCTTTTGCCCAGCAGTTGCCTGCCTCACCCCACTGCACCGTGAGACCCGGGGTGGGGAGGGGGTCTTTCCCCAGTTCTCTCTTCCCTTCCCTGCGCGAGCTGTCGGGTGTGCCCATGAGGGCCTCGGTCAAGGGCCACACACACGGGTGGTGCCATGTTGATGCTCGCGCCCGCTCCTGGTTGCCCGTCGCTCTGGGAGAGCTCCCCAGCCAGGCCCTGTTACACAATTCACGCCTGCCCTGAACTTTGGCATACAGAACCCTGAGATGAGGCGCTTTCAGTCTAGCAGGAAAGGGTTCTCCTCCTATTTTTCTTGTAGAAGAAATTTGCTCTGGCTCCAACCAGGGGTTGAGTAACTTTGCATAAACATTCTTTTATTCAGGAAGGCGTTGTTCACTTGGAGGCCAAGAGTCCTTTGTCCACAGTGAGGAGGGAGCGTTATCCCATCATTAGCTGTTCCCTGCAGACAGCGATATTACGTGCAATTCAATATTGGTGGAAATAAACACAGAAACATTTTTGGAAGGGCGGCTGGGTTTTGTTTTGGGGGAAACAGGCACTCTGTTTTTTACAAGGCAGAGCACTCTGGCGCTCGGGCTTGCCTCATTCAGGCTGCCTTCCTGATGCAGCCGGCCTTTTCTGCGCTGGGCGCGTTGAAGGGTGCGGCTCGAGTGCGCGTGTGGTCGCGCCGAGGGTTTCTGCCCCCTAAGCCAGTCCTCAACCAAACCGGGCCGCTCCTGCGCCGCCTCTCAGACAGGGCACCCTCGGGCCTGCGCGGAGGGCGTGCTCACGTCTCCTCCACCCAGGCTCGGGAGGTGCGAACTTGGCCTCGCCATGCATCTTCCAGGGCCTGTGTGGATGCCCTTTGGGAAGGAAGAGCTCGTGCTAGGAGCACCCTTGGAGCTGTTGTTGGGGGAAGCAGCTGTTCAAGGCACTGCTTGACCCAGAGCCGTGTTCTTGGTTTGCTGGAGCTCCGCCCTAGCAGCGTGTCCTTACATAAAGGGCCTCCCACCCCCCCGAGGGCCTTCGTCCACCTGTCCCCCTGCCAGCAGTGAGCGTCAGTCAGCTGTCCCCCTGCCAGCCAGCCGGCCGGCTGGCCTCGGCACCGCCTCCCTCACGGACCGGCTGTCTGCAGGGGCTGGCCGCTCTTGGCTTAGGAGGGGTCCAGGAGAGGCTGCTTTTCCCTCGCTGTGCTGGAAGCGCAGCTCTTGCAGAACACTTTATTAAAAACAAACATGCAGCCTCCCTCTCTTCAGGAACGGAGCGGGCAGTGTTTTCTGAGAAGCCGATTTCTCCAAGTCTGTACAGAATACAATCGCCTTTTGTTTTGTTTTGTTTGTGTGTGTGTGTGTGCATGTGCAGCACGGTGGGGGATTTTTTTCTTTGGATGTTCCCTTTGCAGGCCGGAGTGAGTGTCACCGTCCCCCCGAGAAGGTTGACGGGGTTTTTTTCCATCTTGGGCTGGACCTAGGCTTGGCCACCCTTAGAGTGGGTCCACTGAAGTCAGTGGCACAAATTGGGCATGTCGGAGGCCCCACTGGCTTCCTCGGGGATGCGTGAGGCACGTTTCAGTCTGGATCAAGCCTTCTGCCTTTTTGTCAGAAGATAAAGTGCTTCCTTGTTGTTCAAGGGGGATATGGCAATATACATATATTGCGAAGTCAGAGCAAGAAACCATTTTCTCTTGTTTGTATGCACTGTTTTTAGAGGTGGCGTGTTGTACCTGCTCTCTTGGCTGGGACTGAAGATCCCCTACAGCCAGGACTCTGAAGGGGGCTGCCCTACATCTTCTAAGGAATAAAGCTTTAACTTTAAAAGGAGAGCACCAGCAGTCGTTTTTAATGTTTGCATCTAGTTTGCAGAACTGGGACCAGGACCAGCACCAGCACAAACGGGCAGCCGCTTGCTAAGAGGCATGGTGCTGAAGAGGGCCAACTGAGCATCAGGCAGAACATGGCTGCACGCCGGTGACACGCAGGAGGAAGGGGGTGCAGCGCTGCGAGGACTGGCCATGCTGGATCATGGCCTGAGTGCCACACGGGCACCAGCAGGCACCACAAAAGTTGTCCCAGGAAGTGCAACTCCTGCACGGAGTGCCATGCGTGGCTGATGCATCGCTCTTGCTCACTGTCTGTTGTGGGAAACGGCAATGTTCTCATGCAGATCTCCCCGGGAGGAGCTCAGGCAGAGGCCTTCTGCGGCAGCCGGTTGCCAGAAACAAGCGTCTCATGCGGGGTTGTGCGTTCTCCCTCCTCGCAGCCAATGATGTTGATCGTCAGATGCCTGCGGTGTTTCTGCAGCAGTGCAGATCTAGACTTGATTCAGACCTTCAGCGGGCCTTAAATTATTTGTTACAAAGTCCCACAGATTTCAGGAGCTCTGCGCTGCCGAGTCTGGTCCAGTGCTCAGTGAAGGTGCGGAGCTGCCCTTTATTCGTGGCACTGGCTTTTGAGCTAAACCATGACTTAGGTGGGTTTCAGCTGCTTTGGACTTGCATATTTGTTGCTTCTGAAATATGAAGGATGCCATGTGCCCCCTGTGCCTGCTTTTGGAGTAAAGACGCATTTCATCTGGTACTCAAATACTTGAGTTAAGTACTCAAGTGGAAATTGGCTCAGAAAGATCAAAAGTAATAATGTGAAAGCAGGGGGATTTTTTAAAAAAGTAAAGGAAGCTAAAATGTACAGTTAGAGCTCAATCTAACCAAATCTCAGTTAAGAAATGATTCCTGTGATATGTTACACCAGCAATGGGAAAAGGCATGCCTGCACTGTTAGGCAGAAATTCAAGGTAGCTATAAAAACTCGGGCGTCCTTTCAGGAGTGGATTCCATGCCCAAATTAAGGAAATGGCAAAAGAATAAACTCAGGCAAGCATGTGCATTAGCTGTAAGGCTAGGAAAGGAGCGAGAGAGAACATCTTTAAATGGCTCTGGAGCAGAAAATGCACAAATGCAAGACGACTCAAATGCAAGAAGATTCAAATATGTGAAATGATTACTGAGGACGGCAATAACTTTAGGAATGAAATCTTTGCGTCATTTTTCACTGCGAAAGGTATTCTGCATACATCCCTCCATAAGAATTATTTTGAGGGAGTACATCAGAAGAACTATGGCAAAGGACACCATAGGGTACTTGAAGCGATAGGACAGGGTATGAGTGTATGTAATAAATAAATACCAATGTAGGCCTGACAGCCAAAACAAGCCACCACTGGGCCGGAAGGACATTCATCAGTCGCTCTTCTTTTGCAGTAGTTTTTAGTGAGAGACTTTGCCAAAAACACTGTGTAGCCCAGCTCCATCCATAAATGTGCTTGACAGCCAAACTGGTCAGAGACAGCAGAAACAAATGTGAGCTCAGGTGGGCAAGAACAAGTGAGAACAGCTGGCCCTCCTCAAAGTAAAACATCTTGCTAAATATCAGTCTTGAAAAAGCACTGCAAAAGCACTGCCAATGAAATACAGTTGTTGTTGCTGTTTTTTAAAGATCCAGGACAGAGCCAGAAAAAATACCCTACCTGTCAGCTTAATTTCTGTTTCAGGTAAATTGGAAGAAAATATAAAACCAAGAATTAGTAAAAAGTATTAAATTTAAGAACACAGAAAATCAGAAAGATTCCTCGGAACCGAAGCGGTGCCTTCGTATAAACACACATACAGGAGACTTGCTACTTGACATGTTTCAAAAGGCCCGATGACGTCACTGCGCTGAGTAAGGCAGGCTGCTCACCTGTAACTCGTTCTTCCGAGTGGCCACCTGTGCGTCGCACACATGGGTGCTGCACCTGCCCAGTGCCTGCAGCCAGGAAGATCCGAAAGCTTAGCGGTGTTGGCGGGAACTCTGCACCCCTCCCACCCCCATAGTATAAGAAGGTGGAGTGCCCGCCATTTCCCCAGTCTGCGGAAGACTGACCGTTTGCCCCCAAGCAGAAGCGAAAAGTATTACACATCAGGTGTTCAAGACACTAAAGGTAAGTATATGAGAGCCAGTGTGGTGTCGTGGTTAAGAGCATGGGACTCGGATGATCCGGGTTCGAGTCCCCGCTCAGCCATGGAGCCAACTGGGTGGCTCTGGGCCAGTCACAGACTCTCAGCCCAACCCACCTCACAGGGTTGTTGTTGTGGGGATAAGATGGAGGGGATGTAAACTGCCTTGAGTCCTTTGTAGGAAAGAGGCAGGGTATAAATAGATAAATAAATGCACATGATGATACACGCTACGGATCCGTAACCAAGTGAAACACAGTTCCGTAGAAACCCAGTCACCGACACCGAGTGGGGCCGGCGGGCAGGTTGTGTGAATGCACAGATGACCACTTGAAGAACGACAGTTACGGATGAGCAACCTGCCTTTCTTTGTCGTGGCCTCTGTGCATCAAACATATGGGTGATTAGCAAGCTTACCAGACCCAGAGGCAGGGCGGTGTCGTCACTGAAGGACAGAAGAGGACTGCGCTACCAAAGGAGCAATCCTGCCTGGCACGCACACCGAGGCAGTAATGCCTGGCAAATGTGCGAGGGGTGGTCCAGGTGGCCGCCTGGCAAATGTCACGGAGTGGGATGCCAGCGGAGAAGGTGGAGGAAGTCGTAACAGCCCGACGGGGGACCCTTTGTCATGTTCGGAGTACTTGATGAAAAGGCGTCTCCTATCGTGAAAAGATTCTGTGCGAGACCTGTGGAAGGCGAGGCATCGAGGAACATCAAGGGAGTGTGGGGAGCACTCCACGGGCATAGACGGAGTAGGAAAAAAGGCTGGCAAGACAGAGTCCTGATTGACATGGAAGGGTGACACGACTTTCGGAAGGAACATCGGATCAGTATGCAGAACGACCTTCTCGTGAAAATTGAGATAAGGAGGGTCTATACAGAGCGCGCAGAGTTCACTGGCCCTTGTAGCCGACGTGACTACAACACGGAAGGCCATCTTCCATGACAAGCGACGTAAGTCGGTAGTCCCCAAGGACTCGGAAGGAGGTTTGCTGAGAGCCTGAAGGACAACAAAGAGGCTCCATGTCGGAATGATTGATCTAACCGGTGGCTGGAGATTCTGTGAGCCTCTAAGGAATCGACAAATAAAGACGTTAGAGAATACCGATGAGCTGGCCACCTGGCCACAGTAGTGAGAGATTGCGGCGATGTAAATTTTAATGGATGAAGGTTTGAGTCCAGTCTGGTGTAAGGATAATACAAATTGAAGACGTTTTGAATAGAAGCTGAACGAGCAATAAAATGGCTGGTTTCGGCAAAAGATGTGAAATGTTTCCATTTAGCTGCATACGAACGACGCGTCGTAGGTCTTAGTGCAGACTGGAGAATGAATTGAATATCAGAATGTTGAGCGCAAGTCCGATGGAGCATTCATCGGTATCGAGGAAGGATGAGCGACTGTGTCCGGACACTGCCGGTTCGGTGTCGGGACCGAGAGAGCTGTCGGTACTGAAGGAGTAGTGTGACTTACCGAATGAGCCAGGCTGTTAAATTGAGCAAATGAAGGTCTGGCTAGCATACCGCCCCATTCTGTTGAGTTATGAGATGAGGTATGAGAGGCAGTTGCTGAAAAGTGTTGCTCGACAGACAGAGAACGGTAGAAACCAGGTTGGCAAGGCCACCAGGGAGTGACGAGAATTCCCCGAGCCTCGTCGAGGAGGGCTACAACACCAACGAGGGCCCTTGAGTTGCAATCGACATGATGTCTTGCCGTAGAGAGCTGTTGAATCGCCACCTGCATCGCCTCCTTGGTGAAGATACGAGCCAGGTCCCTCTGTTGCTCTGGGAGTGATGCTGTAATATTCTCCAGTTTCTGCATGAGGGAATACTGGTAGCGAGCCAGCATCGCCTCATAATTGGAAATCCGGAGCCCGAGACCTGTGGTGGCGTAAATACAGCAGGCCATCATGTCAATCTTCCACCCTTCCTTGTCGCGAGGAGTGGTGTGTTATCTCAACTCGCGACCCTCGGACGACTCCACGACAATTGAGTTCGGCCTCAGGTGACGCAAGAGAAATGGAATGTCCTGTTCTCGAACTCGATACGTAGATTTGTATTGCTGTGAAGTCAACTGCAGCTGGTTGGGGAAATTCCACTGTTCCATCATCGCCTGACAGAGCGTCGTGATGAGTGGCAAAATGATGGCAGCGGATTGTTCTCTCTTGACGATGTTATAGAACTTATAGGTACTGGGATCGAAGCGGTGCTGGGCTTTGAACTCCAGTGACCTAGCCAATCTTGCCATCAGTTTCCCAAACATCGAATACGACTCCTCGGGTGAGCTGGGACCTTGTTTGGTGATCACCGCGTCTGGTGAGGTGGACGCTACATCCAAATCCTTAGAATCGTAATGGAGCGGAGGACTGGAGGAGTCAGCCAGTGAGGAAGGGAACCTGGTCTGAGCTGCTGCGGATGTTGATGGAGCATCCCTCAGGATCGGAGACAGTGTACGCTGGCGTACCGATGGGTAATATCCATAAGGTGCATAGTCATCCTATGGTTCACCATGGGCAGATCCATGCGGCGCTCGCACCCATTCTCCGGAGGGACAGACTGAAGCACGCTGTTGCTACCGCACCTGCTGAGGCGGGGCCCTCGGGGAAGCCTCAAGTGAAGGCTGCGGTGTAGGTGAGTGTGCCATCGGAGGAGCCATCTGTGGAGCGTCCCGGATCTCTCCGTCAGAAATCGATTCCAGCATGGCTGCCTCCTGATGAGCTGGCGAGGACAAGATGGAAGGAGTAACCCATCGCGGGGACCCTGGCGAGGTCACCTGCATCGCCAGTTGGAGAACTGGTCCGGTTGGTGTCAGTACCAAAGTGGCCGCCGGGACCGATGGGGCAGACGATCCCGAATCATGGTGCCAGAGCTGATCAGCCTTCTTGGCTTTGTGAGCCGCTTAGTCTGCCTTGTCCTTCTTAGGCTTCTTGTGGCCTGAGGACTTGTCTGATCCGCTGTGCTTCCTCTTCTCCTTTTGTTTGTGAGGAGATCTAGAGGAGCGTTTGCCCTCCGGCAGAGTCACTCCATTGGTCGATGGGTGAGACGGAGGAGCAGCCAAGGAAGAAGGCTGCCAAGCGGACTGGGTCGCAAGTTGATCAGACATGACCAAAGCCTGATCTCAGAAGAGCTTGTGCAGGCGGTTCTCCCTGTTTTTTCACGCCTGCTTAGTGAAGGCCTGGCAATGGCCGCACTTCTCAGTTCTGTGACCTTCCCCGAGACAGAGAAAGCGCAGATCGTGAGCATCAGTGGGGAACGCCTTGGCCCCACACTGAGGACACTTGCGGAAAGCTACACGCTGAGCCATCAAGAGAAAAAGAGGCGATAGCGAAGCAGAGAAAGACAATAGATAGAATAATTATTTTAATTGCTAAATTATTGTATTAATTAGGATTTTAAAATTTTTAGCCGAGAATGCACCGGGGGGTTTTAAATGTTGTTTTCTTCTTTCAATTGCTGTATTATTATTATTTATGTATGTTTTATGTATTCTTTATGAGCTGCCCCGAGGCTTTGTTGCAATGGGGGCGGCATAGAAATGTTTTTTAAAAATAAACTTTTTTGGGGAAGGAAAAATGGGGGGGATTAGAAAAAGCTAACGAGGAGGGATGAATAACTTGGAAATCTTAACAAGAAAGCTAAGAGAACAGAGAGCAACGGTTTAAAGGGGATCAAGCTACAACATAGCTATGGACTGAGAGACGAAAGGCTCGCGGCACAGTGAGCGGTCAGTCTTCAGTAGACGGGGGAAATGGCGGGCACGCTGCCCTCTTATACTATGGGGGGGGGGGGGGGGGGTGCGGCGTTCCCGCCAAAACCGTTACGCTTTCGGATCTTCCCGGCTGCAGGCACAGCACCCGTAAGCGCGATGCACAGAGGCCACGACGAAAACTGCCCTGACACTTGAAGACGGTCGTCTTACTGAGACCACGGCTCACGGAAGGCTGCCTGCTTAGAAGAATTTTATGCTGAGTCCTGCCAAGTACTGGGGATAAACAACTAGCGGTTCGTCTGTGGAACAAGATAGTTCTCCAGGCAATCCTGTGGACGTCGGACGAGCAGGGAGAAGAGCCCATGGCGGAAGCAGCCATGGGCAAATCAGCCACGCCTGAACTGGCCAAAACTCTCCGCATTCCACCTGACTCCTCATTCTGACTATGCCAATCGCAGGCATTGCCTTTTTCCTGTGAAAAGGCCGTGTGCTTTTTTTCCCAATGCAATCCTCCATTACAGCGTTTTTGTGTGCACTTTTTCTAGTAGACTCACACTCTTTTCTTGGTCTGTCAAGCACATTGCAAGCTCAGAGTCATTCTGGCTTCAACTCTAGGTTGCATCCATGTCTGCCTTCAGGTCGGGAGGTACAAAACGGGTGAGTCTGGATTAAAAGCCATTTCTCATGCAACGCCATGGAGGGGTGGCACACCCAGGTCAGAAGGGGGGGTGTGCGCCTCCCCCCCCCACGGTTGGCTCCAGGGCTGGCACAGTATTTCTCCCAGTATTCCTTGTGGCCCACAAGAAATGAAAGGGCTTGGAAGCCAAGGCCCAGCTCGCCTCCCGAAATGCCCCCCCACACACACACCTTTCCAGCCAGAGCAGTGCTGGGGAGCAGCACAGCTTTCCACCACCCAACTGTGGCGCACACTTCAGCGGCGGTGGCGCCTCTGCACTTGCCACGGATCGTGCCCGTGCCCTGCCTCCTCCAGGGAAAGCAGCTGCAGCAGCTTGGGTGAGGGCCCTGAAAATGACGTGTGTTGCTCGGGCAGATCAGTAATGACAAGGCACGACAGAGGCGATTTTCGCAGGAGTCTGATTATACAGTTTTAACATTTATATTTTATTATAAAAATGGTAACTTTTTTGGGCTTTCTCTTCCAACGTTTAAGTCTTGTGTTACAATAGCAACATGGCAAAGGATGCTTTCCTTCCTCTGAGGGTCTGCGCTTGGCAGGCACTAAATGAAGAACATTTTCCACGGTCTCTCGGGTGGCAGCATATTTGGTATAAAAAAACAAAAGCAAAGTTAGGCCCAAAATAAGAAAGGTTGACTTTGGCAGGTGGACTGATCTACAATCCACGTTCTGTAGTTTTTAAGGTTAACCCCCCACCCCATTTACTCTGATTTGTACAATAAAAAATATTTATAGAAAAGGTGCCGGTGGCCCATTAAATCGCCCCACGGGATCCTCAGTACGCAAAGATGACGTCGTACGTGACCTGGTGCCCATTGTCCCAAGCGTAGAGCAGCCGGTCCTTGGGGTTGTAGTCCACCTGCGTGGTGTATGAGTACTCGTTCTCGAAGAGCAGGCGTGGGACAATCTGGGTGTTGGTGTGGGTGTCGAACGCATAGGAGATGTTGGCGTTCTTCTTGTTGTGGCTGTCCACCGCGTAGAGCACCCCGCAAATGACAAAGCAGTTGCCGTAAAAATTCCTGCGCAGGCCCGTCCGCCAGGTGGTCTCCTTCCGCGTGCTCAGGTCGAGGGCGTTGAGCTTGCTGAGCACGATCACCTCCTGGTTGAAGGTGTCGTAGCTGAGGGCAGGGTAGATGATCCACAGCCCGTTCTCATCCACGGCAAAATCCACGTCGGAGTGGCCACGCCACCGCCACGGCGTCTCCTCCTCATAGGTGGCGTCGTGCAGCATGGCCCAGGCGGCCACGTAGCGCTGCTTCAGGTCGTACTTGATGAGGTTGCGGGTGAAAGCCCGGTTGTAGTAGAGGGAGCCGTTGAAGACCACGTGGCCTGTCCCCATCCAGCTGTAGGGCAGCTTGTAGGAGTTGCTCCAGCGGCCTGGAAGGCAGGGAAGGCACCGTCAGCGCGAGCACATGCGTGGCCTCAGCCTGGCCTTCCGCCGGGGGGGGGGGGGGCGCTGCCCTCACTGAACCAGAGCCCTGGTCCTCCGCTTCGGTGCTGCCACTGGCCAGCTGGGGAAACCTTTACGGGATGTGCAGCTTGGTGTCCTGCAACAGCAGGGGGCTGGACCCAGGGGCCTTCTTGGGCCCTTCCACCTCTACTCTTCTCTGATCCACTGAGAGCAGGCCGCCTGGGACCCTCTGGGTGTGGTGGACTACGATGCCCATAATCCCTGACTGGCTGAGGCTGATGAGCATCCCAGTCCAGACCACCAGGCAGCCTCTGCCTCATCTACCCGGGGCTCCCTCTGGCTCCCCAAGAGGGTCAGGGAAAACCTCTGCGGTCCTCCATGGAGCAACCAGAGACCGAAGTGTGCTTCACTAAGGTGCTTTCGCCTTCAGCCTTCCCCAACCCAGCGCCCGCCAAATGCTTTGGATTACAACACCCAGCATGCCTGTCTATGGGCCATGCTTGCTGGAACAGATCGGAATTGAAACCCACACTTTTGGGGAAAGCATGAAATGAACTCACTCCTCTAATTTTTCCTCTGCAAGTACTTGAGAATTTGCAAGCGTCTCTGGTCAGATGCAGACTGGGCTGGCAGAGGGGCGTCCCCACCCCCTCGCCACAGCGCCCCCTCCAGCCCCTGAAAATGCAATGCAGAAGCCTGGAGCCCTGCCCGCTGCAGGGGGCAGCAGTGGGGCTGGGCCACCCGGAAAAACCGGACCAAAGCCCCTCTGCAGAAATCACGTCCTGAACTCCCCCCATCCGATACTTCCATTTAATCTATACGTCTGACACTTCTCTGGCCGCTGCCAACATCAACAGCAGCTACCGATCGCATTCCAAAGTGAGGTCAAGTTTCATATCTGAAAACATGAGATCCTGGGAGATTTCAGACATAGGCTTCAGCCACCGGACGTCTGCTTTCCAGGGAGTCCTGATCCAATTTGGATGGCAAATGCTTAGCGGGCCCTCGGGGACAGCCAAGGCACGCTTAGGTGTGCGGGACCGTTGCGGGTCCCCGGGCAGGCAGTTCCCCCAGCGTTCGCTCCCCGCCCTACCCCAGAATCACAACGTGCTGCAGTTCCTTCATTCCTCTCATGCACGCTATCCACCTCTGCTCCAGGACAATGCTTCCTCCCACCAGAGCTTTCCTGGGTGGGGGGGGCACCCAACTCCGCCAGACGCCCCGGCCTCCCTCGGTGCCACGCACGAGGCCGCCCCAACCCACCCACCCACCCACCTTGTTTGAAGCTGTCCAGATTCCGGAACTCCACCAGGGTGTTGCCGTAGTAATAGTTGGTGACATAAATCCGCTCGTCCTTGGCCACAGGGTCCTTCATCCAAGCGCCCTCGTTCCGTCCGTACGTGTTCTGGATCACGGGGCCAGAGATGGTGGAGAGAGTGTCCTTGCACTGTCCTGAAAGAACCAGCCGCACAGAGGGACGGTTATAAGAACAGCACAGAAACGGAACGTAATAAAAGATGCAAAGCAGGTACATTCCAGTAAATCTTAGGCAAATCTAAGCCGGAAGTCTGGAATCTGATGTGTAAACAAGCCTGAAAGAAAAGGGAAAAGGGAATGTCTACCTAGTACCAAGGTGATAACTCTGGGGTCGCCAGCCCGTCCTCTTGAGGGAGGACATTTCGAAAGTGAGGTGCCATAACCAAGAAGGCCCCCCTCTTTCAGACACCCTCCTAACTTCGTTTGGCAGGATCTTGTTTCATGCCCTGATTAATTCTGTAATTTATGTTTTTTATTTGAATTTGGGGCAATTCTTATGTACAGTTTTAAATGTACACACAAATCAACATGGGCATTCCGGGAAAGTCTTTGAAATATGCAGAATCCATTTACCTAATGTCCGGGTGGCTTCGTTTCTCTGCCGGAGAGCCATTTAATCAGTAAGTCAGGCTTTACAACTCAGGCATGACCCCTCAGTCCGTCTAGCAAATATCGCCAAGGTGGAGTGCCGTGCCTATCCTTGTCTACACCTGGCACCAGTTCCTTTAGGCAGGCAACCAGATGGTTTGGGGGCTCTAAGATGCGGAAGGACCGCTCAGACCCTGCCCATCCCAAGCTGGTTTGCAGCCCCCTTGTCTCTCCACACCACCAGCAGAATGGCCTTGACTAAGTTCAAACACAGGCCAAGGATCAGCATTTGCAACAGCGCCTGTCCTGCTGCCCTCACTGAGCCTCTTTGCAAGCGGGTCTACCATGCTGAAAACCATTCCATACGGAGAGGAGAGGAGAGCTTTTGGTAGTTTTACAGCACTTTAGGCCCACACGCCTTGCCACTTCACCAGGCTGATGGTGCCGTCACACATCAAGAAGCGTAACCGCAAGGGCTCACCGATGCTGTTTCGGATGTCCTCCTCATCGAAGCTGGGCTTGGGGGTGGCAGTGAGGCCAGGCCGGCCCGGGGCCACTATGGTCACCACTTCAGTGGCGGCAGCTGGGCTTGGTTCCGCTGCTCTCCGAGCTTGGAACCTGGCTGTGGTCGCTCCAGAACTGGGCACTGTTGTGGTGGCTGTGTTCGGCGTTGTGGGTGTCGTGGGGGCCGGGGCCCCCTGGGTGGCATTCCCGGCCACTGGCCCAGTGACTGTGGACACGTGGGCAGCCGTGGTGGTCCCCAGAGACGCTGAAACGTGGCTGCTGGGAGTCGTGAGGACTGGCGTTGAGGTAGGCTCCCGCTCCGTGAGGATAGGGGACCGGGTCGGCTCCACGGCCGCAGCCGTGGGCCCGACAGCTTCTTTTCCAGCAGGCGTGGTGCTGGCCATGGGTTCCCCCACTGGCTCGGTGCTCTGGAGTAACAGCCACCCTTCCCCGGGCGGCGGCTTCCTCGTGGGAACGTATGGCGGGTCGTTCTGCTGCAGAAGCTGGTCTTCTATCAGCAGATCTATGGGGTCGCCACTGAAAGTCTCGTCTTCTGCCAGAGAGAGAGCAAGCTGGAGGGCAACCAGGCCAGAGACCCGGAGCTGCGCCAGGCCTCCTGGGCCACGTCCCACAGCCTCTCAGCGAGGCGCGCCCCCCAGCGTGCAGGTCAAACCCCACCACCAGATGCTTTCACCCTGATCCCACCCTATCTCCAGCAGAGGTTCTGGACTACTAATCCCAGGGTGCCCTGCTCTCTGGCCATGGGAGCCGAAGGTATTCCAACGAGTCTGGAGAGGACTCGGGTGGGGCAGACACCTGCCCCATTGTCGCATCTCTCTAAGAAATCCTGCCCTCAAAGAGTAACATTTCAAGGACTCCAATTTTAAAATAATATCTGAGTGATGTGAATGAGGCAACCGTGTCTGGCATTCTGGAAGCCCCTCCCCAGTTTTCCCTGTGCTGAATGGTAGAAACCACAACCTACGTTCCTCGAGGTGGTTCTCCAGCTCGGCCTCTTTGGCCTTGTAGTACGTGACTCCTCGGATTATGGTCGGCTGGGCGGGGGGGCGAGGCTTCCTTGGCAAGGCTGACTTTGGGGGGGCTGCCCCCAGAGCGGGGGGCGCGTAGTGCAAGGATTTGGCAGAGCTCGCTGGCGGAGCCACCAGTCTGTCGTGCAGGAAAACCTCGTCGTATTTCTCCTTTCAGAAGTAAAGCGGCAGGTTAGGCGGTGCCCCGGCAGCTCAGCCTCGCTCACCTGTTTCCAGCCCCCAGGTAGGGCTTGCGGGTGGCACTCCACGCTCGCTGGGGACCCCCCTCGGAACACCTGGGGCTCGGAGAGTTGCCACCCACATAGCCCTCACAGCGAACAAATTCGGCGCAACTTTCTCACCCACTTCCCTGACCCCTTTCAAAGGCATCCCAGCCGGAGACAGGGCTCTTCTTCCCAAATTTATGCATTTAAGGCATTTGCATGTCTTCCTCTACCTGCCCCTAAGAGCTCCTGAAGTTGTTTACAAACAAAATACGGCCCCCATCCACCCCCACCCCCTCCACACACATAAACAATTAAAGACCCTCAGAGCATCCGCAGCATCCGGCCCAGCATCCTGTCGACACAGTGCACAACCAGCTGCCCGCGGGAATGCGCAAGTGCCCGCCCATGCTCCCCAGCAAGTGGCGCATGTGCTGAGTGCACAAGCCATCGCGGCCCCCGACGGCCACCACCTGCTCCATGAACTCGCCCGGTCCCCTTCCGAAGCCCTCCAAGCGGGTGGCCGTCACGCCGTCTCGAGGAAGGGGACGCCGGGGCTTAACTCTGCGCTACGTGAAGCGGGACCTCTTTTCTCCGACCTGATTCTGTCGCTGTTAAACCATCCCGAGACTTCGGTAAGGGACAGTCTAAAAAAGTTATAAATCGATCAACCAACAAACCTTCCCCCCATCAGCTCCACGGGGTGGGTCCAACTCTCACGAGAGGGAAAGCGATGCCCTGCTCTCCGCGTTCTCCATCCCATGCCTCCGTTCCTCCTGTCTCCCACAGCCGCTTCCCTCCTGAGCTTTCCCACCCGCGGTGCCGCACCTGTTCTTGTGAAGGGACTGCTCCACACCCCCAAGCGCTGCCACTGCTGCTTCGCAGCACCACCAGATCATTTGCTAAGCGCGGTGACCAGAACGGCCAACTGTGGGCTGCCCTGCAGATCTGTCCAACGGGAGCCGTTTCATCCTCCATTCCCTTCCTACTTATTCCTAACATGGAGTGTATCTTTTGCACAAAAGCCCCGCTCAGGGCCCACATTTTCATTGAGCTGCCCCCCCCCCCCGCAAGATCCCTTCCTTGCTCAGCCGCCGCTTTCTCAGATCCCATCAGCCTCAACTGGGAGTGGGGATTTTTTGCCTCCCACAGATACGACTCTGCGCTTGCTTACACTGAGCGACAGTGGCCCTTTTGATGTTCCTCACAATCCCTTTTGGTTCTAGCCGCCCTAAATAATTCAGCGTCATCCAACTGGGCCACTTCGTTGCTCGCTCCAAATTCCAGATCGTTTCTGAGCACACTGAAAAGAACTGGCCCCTGCGCAGATTCCTACGGGACGCCACATCGTTCCACTGGAAGAATTCCCACGGCCAGTGTTCTGCTCTTTGACCAGTCGCTGGGCCTCCTCCCTCATTCCGCGGCTGCGAAGTCTGCTCAGAAGTCTTTGGCAAGAACTTGTCAACAGCCTGGCAAAGTCCAAGTTAGCAATTCCCACTTGGTCACCAATGCTCTCAAAGAACTCTTGCAAAAGACAGGCTGGTCCTTTTTCAGCAGCACTTAACCTTCTCCATGCTTACTAATTTTATGTTTATTAATGCTTTTGGCCAATTTACCCAGAACAGCAGTCAAGTGAAGGAGCCCATGATTTTTCAGATTCCCTCTGGATCCCTTTTTAAAAATTGGGCTTACACTGGCTATTCTACGATCCTTAACCACGTATTTGCCACTAAAATATATAGTTCCACTCTCATTCTATTAGGAAGAGAGCAACTGAAGATCAGAAACTAGTGAAATTATCTGTATCAAATTTCTATGGTAAACACAGAACAGGAAATACAGAGGAAATTAAACAGTATCTTTTCACTGAGCCTGATATGCTTTTAGTTAGCATCTGAAAGCTAACTGGTTCCACTAGAGATTTAAATCTGGTAGCAGGAGGGACTCGGGTCCTGTCAGAACCCCAGTTTTATTAGTGGAGCAAAAGACCTGTACACTTTCCAGCTCTGAGGGCTTCCTGAAGGACAGCTCAGGGATACTCTTGTTCGGGGCAGGTTCCCATTATTAGCTTTTCTTAAAAGGCCAGGCCGGTCTCACCTCGGCCAGAGTATAGGCTGCGGCAGCATCCCTCTGCAACGAACTCTGGATGTCCGCCAGGTTGCCGGAGATGCTGCTGGAAGAATTCATCTTGTCCTCAACGGCCGTTTCCTGAAAGCTTTCGTCCTCATTTTGCCTCTTCCGCTTGCTCTCCTTCGTGCGATTTCTAGACATTTCCTGGCATGTGCACAGGCAGAAAGAAAAGCTGGTCGATGCACAAAAAGCTTCAGCACTTGACAATCTGGTCTCCAGCCCGAGTTGCTGCTTGCCACTCCACCCTGGAAGGAGCTTTGCTTGTCTCTGCAAGGACCGGGAGCCCTTTGGTGCCACAACCGGCGAGCCGCAGCCCGGAAGGCCGGCTGAAGCAGGGTGCCCTCCGAGGGGGCAGCAGCAAGCCCTGCCCCTCATTCGGAGGACGACACCACCTGGCGAGACTGGAGGGGACTCGTGCCCACCAGAGTCCCAGCGATGGAAGCATGTGAACACTGCGGAAAAGCGCCTGAGCTACGCCGGCCCCCCACGCGAGACGGGAGGGCCGTCTCCCCCAGCCCCACTCCACCTTCCCAAACCCGCCCTCCAAAAGCCCTGGCGTGGGACTTAACTCCCACCGCTTCTAGCCAGCATGGGAAGGTGTGGGGCAGGCCAGACTGCGGGTGCAAGCAAAGGGACCCGGGGGGAGCAATCCAGCCCCCCAATCCAGACTGGCCCTTTACAACAAGGCTGGGTCAAACTGAGACAGGGGCTACTTCAAATGGGGAGCTGCTGAATTAGAATTCGTTAACAACATGGAACAAGGATAAGGATGGAGTTCCCCCTTCCGTTACCGGGGAGAGCAGCTGGTTTTTACCTGCTGCTCCTGCAATTGTTTCACACTTATAAAGCCGCCAACTGTGCCTTTAGCAGAATGGCAGACAGAAATGCAAGTGTGGAATATTTTCCTGGCATTTTTTTCCTGCTAAAGGCCCTCCTGGAAACCAACCAACCAACCATGCTGTGTATCAATTTTCTGGCAAGCACAACCCATGGGCACAGCCCAACAGATCTGAAGTACCTGATGGCACAGTCTTAAGCACGTTTGACAGAAAGGGCTCCTATGGAGTCCTAAGGCTTCCTTTCCTTGAAACACGCCAGAATTGCACACGTGAAGTTCTGGCGCGATCACAGGAGGCATTGAGCACGTTTAACTTTGGGCCTGGGAAGTGTCTGACTGAAGCTGCACTGCACCCTGTGCAGCAACGGTAAGATGTGTTCGTCTTTTATGCCCCGGCTAGCAAGGCGCTTCATTCCAGTCCTACTGGCCTTGGTGCCGACCACGTTCATTAACCACTGATTTCGACATGGGGCGGCGCATTCTTGCTCCACTCACTAGGTCTGGTCCTCCGCAGGAAGGCCTGCCACCATTTTTTCTGGCCCAGCCTGACACAGGGAGGCCTGCAGGGCCACGGGACTCCCGGGAGAAGCCGGCTCATCTTACCTCCTCCAGCTTGTCCACTCGGCCCACCAGCTTCGTTGTGACGGAGTGCAGCTTCAGCAAGTCCAAGCCGTAGAAAGCGCCTTCCAGCAGCTCGATGACCGCCGCCAGCTGCAAAGGACACACGGCACAGCGAGGTCAGCGGCTGCCCCCTTCGGATGCGCGTGCGCGGCCCGGGGACCGTCTGCACACCCTCCGGATGAGTCCGACAGCGCAACGAGCAGTGCTCTCTCGGCCTCCTCTCCCTCGCAGGGCTGCTGTGAAGACGACAGAGCGCATTTGACACTCTGCAAACCACCCGGGAAACCGCCCCCCACTCCGCTTCCCATTGCATTGCGGGGCCATAGCGCCGGAGCCTGGGGTGGGCGGAGCCTTTTCAGGGGTCAGGAAGGAAAAGCAGGGAGAGCCCCCTGGAAAAGCATGTGCGGCGGCCCGCTCAGGGAAAGCCCGGCAAGCGGGGGCCCCAAGAGGATGCTCCGGCAGTGGGTGCCGCTCCCCAGCTGCAGCGCCCTGGCTCTGCAGCCCCCCCAGGGGATGTGGAGGGGAAATGAAATGGGAGGTGGGAGAGGAAGAGCAGGCGCCCACATCGTTATTCCTGCATTATGGTGATATCCTGTTTTTCCCTCGCAAGGAACCCAAGCCAATTCCCAAGGTTCTCTTCCTCTTCTTTTCAACCCCACAACAACCCTGCAAGGTAGGTCAGGCTAAGAGCTTCACGGCTGAGTCCCAGCCAACATGAACCACTGCACCACACTGCTCTGGGGGCATCACTCGTTCGCTGCCGCTCCTGAGGAGCCCTTCCCGAGCTGCAGGCTAGTCTTGGTCCTGCTCCAGCAAAAGAATGAACCGAGATACAGAACACAGCTTTACAATGCCAGGACTAGTGGAGCAGGCCAGACTTAAGCCCAGCCAGCTTGGTCCACAGAAACCCTGAGTGAGTGTGGCCATGGGCTGCCGGCCCCCCCCCCCCGCTTTTCTACTGGCCCATCCCAGGCTGCCCACTTGTTTACTGGCCTGGTTTTGCTCCTTTCCCAGCAGCCATGCAGAAGTCAGGTGGGCAAAGCTTTCCTGGCAATAATGCGCTGGAACGCAATTCCGACAGGCCAGGCGGCGGTCAGAGTAGCTTCACAAACAGCACCACGGAGCGCTGCTCAGCCGCAGAGATCTCTGCCAGGCCACCCCTTCCTGAGTGCTCCGGCCAGCCAACTCGTCGCACTCAGGCAGTCCGGAAGGCAGAAGAGGGAAAGAGGCGAGCCTGCCTCCAACCCTCCCAAAACTTCCCACTCCAGTCTCCTGGAAAACTGTTTTCACTTCCTATGGGAAAATGAACCACCGGCTCTGCAGTGTGTGGGTGGCGCAAGAGCCGTCCAGAAAAACAGCCGGCAGCGCAACTCTGGCAGGGCCGGGCGCCTTCAACTCGAACTCGTGCCCTGCTCTTCACGGCCAAAGGTGCTCACGGAGCACCCTCAGAGGGGGCAAACGCTTAGCAGGGCTGCCGATGAAACGGGGCCCACAGCCTCCAGTCAGCCCACGAAGTTTACAGCAGGCAAACTCCTACAGGAGACTCGCCCTGATATTTCACGCTCAGTTCACGGGACCGTTAGGAAATTGGCTCTTGCGTGCCAAAGCTTTCCTCCACGCAGCCGTCCTCCCTCTGCAGCATCTCTGACGGGTCTCTCCTCCGTTTTGTGCAAGTTGTTGCACCCCGTTCCTTCCTTGCCGCTTGCCCCGTTTTCTTCCAGCTTCCCTTTGGAAACTCTCTCACGCTGCGTCCCGCCAGACTCCGTTCCGGGGCCGCACCTCGAGCTGGCCCGGCGACCCACCCAAGCTGAGCCTACCACCCCCGAGAGCAGATCTTGGCACTGCCGTGGGGGTTATTTCCAAAGGCCCGGCGCTTCCCCCCAGCTTGGTGCCAGAAGGCACGGCCAAGTGGGGCCGAGGAAGGCTGGCAGTGCCGCCCTCGTGCCTGCCCAACCCCGGAGGCAAGCACCAAGCACGCACCCTCTCCCCCCTCCGATGGTGGAGACCGTCCCGACAATCACAGGCTGAGGGCTCTGAGGTGCCGGCTTTGCCGCCTCTCCAGCTGCAAAGCTGAGGAGCCGGCGGGGGCTTGTCCACCACGGGGGCTGCGAGCACAACCATGGCCCGGCGTGGTCACCACTTCCCGTGCGCTGCCTCGGCCTGGGCATTCCCGGCTCGTCCTTTCCCTCCACTTCACATGTCGCTGGCCAGCGCTGTTCTCTCCGCTCGCCCGCTTTCTCTCCCCCACTGGGCACGCAAAGAAACGGCTGAAACAGCTGGGACCACAGACATCTGGACAGATGCTCTGAAGTGCCTGGAAGCTGGGAGAAGCTTTAACGCAGCGCTGGAGAGTGGGTGACATGGCAGCGAGCCGGCCTTGCGCTCCACAGCTGGGGGGCTGCCCACAAAGAGGTCCTTCCGCTTGTTGCCCCCCCGGAACCTCCCCTGGAGAACCTCCGATCTTGAGAGCAGTGCAGTTCAAATTCTTGACCTAGATCACTGATTCACTCTTTCTGCTTTCCAAAAAGTTAAACGCAATGCATTTACTCAATTCATCTCCGTTTTCATGCCGCCTACGACAACAGGGCTGTTTTCCATTTGTCACAAAGACTTGTGCTTCGTTCTCTTTTATATTTAGACCAAATGTATTTCTTTCCCATTAACTTCAACAGCCACGTCGTTATTTTATCAGTTGCCTCATCTGCAATTATACTAAATAGAAGGGTGGCCTGGGGGGGGCGGGGGGGGTCATGGAAGCCCCTTCACCAACGTTTACTGAAAGTTGCAACTTTCTGGTCTCTGCATAATGTTCATTCTCCTTCTACCCTCACAAACTATTTACAGCCTTCCCCAACTCGACATCCTCCAAATGCAACTACAACTCCCATCATCCCCACCCAGTACAGTTGCTGGCAACTTTTTCTATTTCCCTCCGTGTAATGCTGGGTGTTCCCCGCCATTTCTCGCCCTCCATCCATATTCAGAGGGTGATCGGGTGAGTCTTTACTTCTCTTTCGGGTATTTGCAGCTAAAGGAAGTCCAGCCTCCAGCCAGAAAATGCTGCTGCAGTGGAACTGACCGGCAAGCCGACTCGGCAAGAAAAGGTTTCTTTAAGACGACGACGGCATCCAACCGTATCTTTGAATCTCGAGCCAAATTATAAAAAAGGAAAGCACTAAATGGACTCAGGAACCTCTGATGATGAATAGCCTCGCCTTGCACTTGGCGTCCGACGGCCCTGGCCGGCCTGGTTCTGGGCCTTCCCAGCGTGGCTCCCGAGCCAGGCGTGCTTGCGTAACCCCGCAGGGAGCCCGGCGGACTAGCCCTCCGGACTGCTGGAGTTCCTAGACGACCTGGGAGGATGGAGACGCAAGGCCATCTGGAGGCACAACGCCGAAGTCGAGGAAGACACGCCCCCGGCAGGCAGAGAGGACAACTGCAACTCCCGCGCCCAGGCCTTCCGCTGATGGCCTTAGCTACAGATTCCAGGAACTGCAGCTGGGACCCTCTTGCAAAGCACCTGCCGGAGCCCTGGCCCGGCCCGGCCCAGCCCGCCTATGAACAGCTGCGTTCGTGACCGGCTCATGTTTCCCTTTAGAAGAAAGCGGGGGGCTGGACGCACTTATGGAAAACCAGCATTTGCAGCTCTGAGGAAGGAGGTGCCAGTGGATTCATTCGTCCTGCTTGCAGGCAGCCCAGCCCTGCAGACCGGATGCGTGGGGGCAAATCAAACAGGGGAAAGGCATCTATCTGGCTGCTGCTGGAAACAGAGCACTGGGCCCTGGGGGTGCCGACCTGAGCACACAAAGACTTTCTGATGCACCGCCGCAAAGGCACGAACAAAGGCACGTTCATCGTCCGGCCTTTCGTGTCACCAGGATCTCCCCTGATCTGCCAGAACCGGGAGCAAAGCTTGATCCAACCGGTGACAACTCCAGACCGGTGGTGCGTCAGAGCTATGCACCGGGGTTTGGGCTGAATGGGGGAAATGCATCCATGCTGCACAGAGCGTGAGACAGGTACCGTTCCATTCTAAACACGCACACGGCGCATCTGCCAAAAAGGAGGGCTTCCACTCGCCTGCGAGGCAAATGGGACCGGGGAGCGGAAGCCAGCCAGTAACGAGGATCTGGCAGAGATGAGGCCGAGGAGCAGGGGAAGTGGCTCGAGACCGGGTGCGGCTCACCTCGCACACACCTCTGCTTAAACATACCTTGGGCCACAACTCTGCAGAGACCTTCTGCCTGGGCACTGCCCATTGCTCCCAGAAGTTGGCGGGGAAGAGAGCTGGAGCTGAAACGGGGGCTCTGATACAAGCAGGGAGAGCAGTCCGGGCACGTGGCAGGCACTGGGTGGGAGGAGGAGACCAGACTGCAGGTCAGGAAAACTCTCAGGGGAATTTACCCAGGCAGCTCTTCCACTTCCCCTGTTTGCATCTGCCCTACAGAAATTAACATGGATCTTGCATGCACGGCGAGGTGGCAATAACACAGAGCGCTGGGCAGTTTGCACACTGCTGCCTCTCCCCCACGGCCTGGTCAAGCAGGCCGCCGTTGCCCCCGCTGCATGTCGCGCTGCTGGGGGGGCTGGGCCATTTCCAGGGCCGCCTGGCAAGTTTCTGGACGTGGCCAGGTGCAAAGCAGGCTCCCCCGACTCAGCGCCCGAGCTCGCCACTGCTCAGTGACAAACGATGATTGTGATCTGCGGAATGTCAGGATCACACGGTAAATGGTCCTGGACTGACTTCCGTTTCGAGGAATACTGCACAGTGCAAAGTACACAAGAAATCTCATGCATTTGGCTCTCTCATTAGGCTTCTTGCAAACTCCGCAGAGAGGAGGAGGGCAGTACAGAAATGAAATAAAGGAGCAGAAGGCGTGTGACCCAAGTGCACCGGAACAACCGAGGCAGCCGACGGCGTTACGGCACGCGGCACGGCTAACGCCAGGGCGTTCCTGAAGCAGAGACCCACACGCTCTGGATTCCGAGAAAAGAGCAAGCGCGAAGATGGACGAAAGCAAGGGAAGAGCCGACCTCGCCAAGCAGGTGACGCAAGGCGGTGAGGCTGCGTCGCCAGACACTGAGCTCTC